AGGAAGGAAGGACCTTTAAACAGGAAGAGGCAGAGGTTTTATAATGGCAACAAAACATATCATGCTGTTCTCATCTCTTCATCAAGAGACATTGCTCAGGCTGATAAAGAGATCTGAAAGATGCTGTAAAATCACTGAATATATGGAGATGCCAAATCTCTTTCATCAACTGGGGAGCCAGTTATGGATTATAAGTTATTTATAAAATTTAAATAAACAACAATTCAGAAGTGGCTTCACAAGTATCTCTATTTCTAGCTACCCAACTAGTTTGAAGAGTAAACATGTTGAAGGAGAGGTTGCCAAAGATGCAGCCAATTGATATAATAAAGAAAATCCTCTGTCAACCAGAGTTGGAGGAACTCTATTTGTAAATGGATGGCTGAAGAATATATAATAAGAGTCAAGGACCAGCTGCTATTGGGAAGTTTAATGAAATCTAACAATGCCACCAAATTTGGTTTCAACATGACTGCTCTGAGGTTTCAAATGCTTCCTCCCAAGCAGGGTGAATCAGAGGCCTCCAAGGTGAAAACGTTATTCCCCAGAGAAGGAAAGGAAAGAACATGCAGAAGATTAGGCTACAGGGCAAAAATGAAGAAAAGATGGAGAATATTTACTTTTTCACCAAGAACATGACAGCCTGGAACCCAGTGCGTCCTTGGAAGGAAAGTACACATGAAGTCCTTCCTGAGCCCCAGAATTCCTTATTCTTAATTCAAGCAGTGCATTGCACTACAACTGAGACAGTAATGTCACCTTTGTCAACCAGGGTTGGAGGAATTCTAGTTAAAAATGGATGGCAGCAGCCAACAATATCTTCACAGATATTGTTCAACACCTTCTACATAGAATTCCTAATTCTATCTTCCTTTAGAAGACTACCGTAATTCAATCCATTGACTTTGTTGGGCTTTCAACTGTATACTCCACTTAAATCTATGCTAAATAAATGTAAAGGAAGATGGCGGAAAGTCTTGGCCTGTTGCTAACCTTGGCTAAATATGGCTTGGTGATTTATGGTTCAGCAGCTAATATGAACACAGCCACTTAGCTTTCACTCTTCAGCAATATAGTCTGTTCTTCATTTTGTTCTTGCTTGGGTACCACTTCCCTGATACAATATCTACAAACTTTAATGAAATGAATAAAATTGTAATTTACTCCAAACTGAGAGGCCTGCAATGTGCTGTATAAAAAAAAGTGCTTACAATAACCAATGGGGGTGGATTAGGTAATCCACCTCAGTTTTAGTTCCTTCAGTTCCTCCAGCAGACTCGACAACTGATATTTAACTTAAGGTTAGGGTTAGGGTTAGGATTCCTGATTCCAGCCATTGGCTTTAATTGAAATTTAATTGAAATTGAATCCAAATTCAGGATCCCTATAGTCCTTAGATCAGATGGCTCATCATACATACAAGTGGCTACACAATTATCTATATTTTTATTTACCCAACCAGTTTCCAGAGCACACAGTTTGTAGGAGATGTTGCCCCCCCAAAAAAACCCAACCAAATGATATAGAAAAGAAGAAACTCTGTCAACCTTGGTTGGAAGGACCCTAGTTGTAAATGGATGGTTGGAGAACTGAAAATAAGAGTCAAGGACCAGCAACTATAGGATGTTTAGTAAACTCTAACAACACCAACAAATTAGGTTTCAAGATGGCTGCTCTGGATTTAGGTAGTTCATCTCAAGCAAGAGGAATTAAAGGCCTCCTTTAATGGTGAAGGCAATATCTGTATTCATCAGAGAAAGGAAGGAATGTGTGCTGGACCAGTATGTATGTAACCATCTGGCCAGAGCATATATAAGTAGCATTTAAGGGGTTGATAATGCAGACCATGGTCTAGGAATTCGATGTTCTCTTGGCAGTACCAATCCTTAAGCCTTAAGCTAATGGTTCATTTCTAAAAATCCTTTGTTCCCTCATTGGATGTTGACCTTTTGTTGCAAATAAAGATGAAAAACCACTTGTGTTCCTAATTTCTTAAATTTCTTGCTTTGCTACTCGTAATCTCTTGATATTGTTTTCAGGTTCATTGTTGTGTTGTTCATTCCACATGAAGGAAAAGAAAGGAATAGTAATCCATGGGCTTGATTATTTTAGTAAGGTTCTCATCCACATCTTTGATTTTTGCTCCAAGGAGACAACATACCTGATATACAGTACATAGATCTATAGTTTCCTGGATCCAATTTTTTCCCCTTTTTTGAAGATGGAAACAACATCAGCCCTTACGTTAGTGAGGGATTGTGAAAAAAAAAAGGATATTCAACTGTCATGACTCTGACATAATTGCTTAGAGGCTTAGATCCCTATAGGACTGCTGGTTCTTTTACATTTGTCAGGGCTAGAATGCCACACATCCCATCAGTAAAATAATGCCATCAAGGTACCCAAGAGATGTGTCTTGTTTGTAGACCCTGTCTTCTAGCATAGCATTCCCCCAGACATCTGCAAGGCCCTGACACCATTATGCTTTTGGAAAACGTTGGCCTTTTCAGAAGACCATCAGATAGAGGAGTCTAGGACCTTATCTATCCCACATAACTATATTGCTGTTTCCCAGTGTAAGTTTTTCCTTACCCTACATTATGTTGTTTTACTGTTTTACTGTTTTACTGTTGAATATCTATTTCAATCTATTTCTGATTCATGGTTTTAAGGCACTTGGAGCTGCTTTGACTATTGGGGGGGTGGGCAGTAAACTGATTAAATACTTTCCCCATATGAAAGTTCTTGTATTTGGTGTTTTTTTCAAGGAAACCTGATCTCTGTTCATATCTAGAATAGGCTGAAGTTTTTTTTCAAAATAAGTTGTCCTCTAAATGGTTTTTCTCTGCCCTCTGGTGGCAGTGCTTATGAACTCATATTTGAATCGTTCTACTGTTTTCCAGTAAAACAGTAAAACACTTATTTAGATTGAGCAAACTGGGATTAACCCTTACTTGACTAGAATTTTTGTTAGCTTACATAACAAACTACAGAACATGCAATGTACCACACATTGTTTTTTTTTACTAGAGAAGAAGTACTATATCTTGGAAATGTTCCATTAAAAACATGTCATGACTGGAAAAATTAATATATTGCAGAAAAATACAAGTTTTCAAACACTTTTATTAACAAACTGATATTATTTGTAGTATCAAATTTATATGGCAAATTATAATTACAATATTATTTTTTGCATTATAAATATGAAGTAAAATCCCATTTTAAAAGACTATTTGTGGGGAGAGCTGTCTATCAGACTTGGCTATCTGTTACATTCAAAAATAAACCATTGCACTGATTTATAGCATTTGCATCACTCATAATGATTTTATTATGTAACTTATACATTTTATGTCATGTAGACAAATTTATGTTGTTAGCATAATCAGATGAATTATTATCATTTGCATAATGTTATCTCTGAAACACACATGTGCTGTTTTGGGGAGATGTGGGTTGGATATTTGATCTGTTGCATTCAAAGTCTGCTAAATAGGGATCTGTTAAATCAAGGTTGCACTGTATCTGCTTTTTTCTATTCATTGCTTTTAGTATGGTTTCACACAATAAGCAAAATCATGGTTCGTTTTAACTAGGGTTTATTAAATAGGCTGAATCCACACATAACTACAGCCCATAGCTTACCAGCCTCATACATCATGCCATACCAAAGTCAAATAAACCAAGTGATTATTTAATGCAATTTGTGGACTTCGTAAAGTTTCAATACCATAAAAACGGAAAGCAGAAAAAAATAAAATATCCATCAATTCTGAAATGATCAAAAAGTTGCTGTTGCAGAGATAAATTCAAGAATTGTGTTTTTGTGAGGTGGACTGGGAATCCTACTTTATTTTTAGGTTTATATAATAGATTTCAAACCCAGAAAAAATAGCCAACTATATGGGTGCATATGTTGGTAACCACTGTTCGTGAGAAGGAATTCAAGAATGATATAAAAAAGCATTTTGCTGGCAATTGTGTCTTCTTCTTCATAAATAGTCAAACCAAGATCGATTTATCTGGTACACGGACTTTATATGTAACTTTGATTCAATGTAAAACAATCTCTGGGCATCGATGTCAAATTCTGGCCTATGCAAAAACAAACAAACAGCTGTCTTGGAAACTTTATAATGAATCACATGTATTTCAGAGAAATATTTAATTTCTCTTGATTCAATCTGTTCAGCTAATTACTACTATGATGTTGGATGGGTGAGAAAGAGAGAGAAAGAGAGAAAATTAAATGAAAGCATTTTCTAGCAACATAGGGTAGAACATTTGCTGAATTTTATCCTAGGTGTTTGAAGGACGTTGGTATTGTCTGGCAACAGAATGCCTGGAATAAAAGATATAAAAACACCCTTAATCATGTAAAATAGAACAATGCTGATCAAATGTTCTTAGGGATATATGATATGCAATTTCTATTTAGATCATATACCAAAACCAGCTCAATTAAATACTTGCACATTTGCAACAACCAAAAAATGGGAGCTAAAAATATTGGATTTAAGAAAGAAAAAAAATTGAGGTTGTTTTTTAAAAAACAAACAAACAAAAAACAAACCTAGAACTTGTAAAGTAAAAAAACACAATTTTTCTGATTTCATATGTGCTTCGAGAAAAGTCTGGTAGAAAACATTTTTTAAAAGCATGGGAATCATCCCTTCCGTAGGATTGAAAGGGCCATAATGGTCCTTTTGTCTAAACCCTACTCAGGGTCTAGAGGTCTGGCAAAAGAAGTCAGAGGTCTGGCAGGAGACCTCTAAGAAAGCATAGTAGTAAAAACCATTTCCACAATGGTCACTTTTGAAAGAGAGGGTTTAACCATTTAGAAAACACCAGAAATTAGTGTCTGAAATAAGTCAGAAAGTATTTTTGATTGGTCTAGCAGCAATTAAGTTAAGGCTCATCTCCCACGGTTCTAGATTGTTCTGATAACAAATAATATAAAGCAAAATGATACATGAGAAAGAATTGATGATGATACCTTATTTACAGATCCTAGAACAATTATAGTAGCAACACCTTTGTCTTCCTGGACAATCATAGTCATAACGACAGCGATGTATTCCTGGGATAGTGCATTTAAATGGATTTCGTGGGCAACTCCAAGGAATCACTGAAATGGAGGGGAGGGAGTGTGGGGGGGACAGAATTGTTGTTAACCATTAGTCAAACACCAACTAATTTTGATCATTCTTTGGAATATAGTGCAGCCCTATGATGTTTTAATTGCCATGATGGCAATTAAAAACATCCACACTTTAAGAGAGGAGTTTCTTTAACATCTTTTGACTTTGATGCTTCTTCCCAGTTTGAAGCATATTAAACACACACTTATACTATCAGTGTCAGAAATGAATCATATCTGAAACCACTTGATGGAATCTATAAAAATAGACACGTACATAAGGGCCTATTGAACAGATTCCATGAAAAGAAAAAAGAGCAGAGCATCACAGAGTAGACCCTAAAAATCACATCTTGCAAAGTTTCAGGAACAGTTGGAAAAGACCCTTACTGGTCATTTGGTCTGCAAGACTCCTAATTTCAATAACTAATTTTATTAGCCTTACATATCCCAGCCATAAATTCCCTTCTGAAAGACAAATCTTAACAGAGAATTAAACCTACCAGATTGATATTGATATTAAGATACCCAATCCAGAGTCCCCAGCTTCTCTGCTTCAACAGGAAACTAGGCCCAGAGCTGTAAGAAATGTTACTGTTTATTAAAATTAAGATTACCTGGTGGGAATCTACAACTTGTGCTACATCTGAAATTACAGCAACGTAGGGTCTGAGGGCAGTCATAATCCCTCCTGCAACTATTAATTCCAGGTAAAGAGCACTGAAATGGATTTCCTGGGCAAATACCGGTTCCTGTTGAAAGGAAAAAAAAACAATGCAAAATATGCAAATACCCTTTAAAAATATTTTTTTTATTGAAATGTACTTGCCCATAGCACTTATTATGAGTAAGATCATGTATTGATTATATGAAACCTATGTTATATTTGCCTACATATACTTTATACTTAGATTCAACTTTTTTGTACCTATTCTATTTTAATAATTGCACTGTTCCTTCTTTATTACTCTTTGCCTAATCTGTAATATAAATGAATAAATTTATGTACACACCAACAGGCATTTCCTGATAAACAAACTCTCTCCTAGCTTTCTGAGTGCATGATTAAAATGTTGCAAATATTTTTTTATGGTTACCACCAGATACTATAGAATGGACATGTTTAAAACATTGCAAGTCCACAACAATCACAGAGAACTGACAGCCCATCAGAGCTTACATTTTTTTTGGCCAAAATAAAAATACTGACATATCTTATCCAGTCAGGACTTATTTTCCAGCTAGGAAAGAGACCTTCATTTATCTCACCATAAAAAGAAAAGAGAAAGAAAATAAACTGGAAAAAAAATCAGTTACTTATTGCCAGAGCATACCTCTTGGAATACTGATTCTTATTGAAACATTTTATATAATTATGCCATCTTCTCACCAAAACTGGACAGTAGGAATTAGGAGGTAAGATGAAGAAGGCATTCTCTAGAATCACTACCCCAAGCAAGACAATGTTGTAATCACTCTTGCTTGTGCAGCAATATTTGCTGCCTAAAAACCGGGCTCCTCAAGACTGCAGCAGAAAGATGCCACAGACACTGCACACTGATGTTCCATGTCATTTGATCAGCAGGAGGCGTAATTCAGTTTAATATTGCACTCCCTTCTGGAAGAGGCCTAAGTATGTTTTCCATTAGTATCAGGACAACGAAATGTTGATCTCCCCAATATGAGGAAGAAAACAAAAGAAAATATTGTATATAACACTATTTGTCACCACCCTTTACAACTATTTTTAGCTAGTCAGTTAAATTTATTTGGTAGACCTGAAGGATGATTTGCTTTAATTACAATTTGTTGCAATTATCTTCAACTTACTCTATACTGTGTTTACCATTTTGTACTGTTAATCATTTTAAGCAGCCTTGGAAAGTTATAAAGCTACTTAAAATTATTTGTTGTTGTTGTTAGTTGCAAAGTGTCCGACCCATCTTATAAAGCTAGTTAAATAAACTGGTGTAAGTTTAAGCCCATTAAATATGGAGTAGATTTGATTTTAGTTTTAAATAGAGTTAACAATGGGTCTTGGCTTCCCGCAAACTGCTTTGCAGATTTCTTTCTCAAACAGGCTCCTCTACCAATAATTTTATATCTTACCAAACAGAACCCTGGAAGATGTGAAGGGTAATCCTGTCCAGAGGGCTAGAAGACCCACAAGAAGCAAGCCAGTTAATGTCTTCATGATGTCCTCAAAAGTCAGATGTGAACTCTCAGAAAGCAATTAGGCTTGTATTTAAACAGATGTGTGGGTAGCTTTAAGATTACACCTTTCCACATCTTCCTCATGCTTGATATAGCAACTGTATGCATAACAGCATACAGAAACCTGAAATAATTGCTTTATGCTGTCTTCGTAGATAGCATGGACTTGTGCCACACGAGGACTAGAACCAAAGGGCGTGACATCTAAAATGTTTCCATATAAACATCCTTATTTCAAACAGCTATTGTGAGCCACACCCTAATTGTAGCATCTTCCAACACGTGAAGAAAACACAGTCAACCTGAGAACAGTAGAAGGGCAGGGTTTTCCTTATTAAGGATGCTGGACTTCCTATTTTCTAACTAATAATTGGAGATAGATAGGGCTGATATTTACCAAGGAAAATTACAGAATAGCCAGAGGGGTGGGGTGGGGTGAAACATAACTCAATGATACGGTATAACAATTTTCTAAAGAAAGATGCCATGCAATCAAGTTACAATGATCTCAAGATGGACAAGAGGAAGCATCTGCCTCAGGCAGAAGATGATAAGTAGGGGTAGGAAGGACATGTCCCTGTCCTGTGATACCAAAGTCCGATGCAATGGAAGAACTGATCCATCATCAGTGTTGACTTACAATGTGATTGTCAGTATTGTTTTAAAGCCATCTTCTAGCCCCTTTGAAAGCTGTTATTGGTGGAGAAGTAGGAATTAAATTTAATAAAATAAATAGAACAATCAAGATTGGAGGCTATCACTAAATATTGTGAACCTAATAATTTAACTGTGTTTTATATAATGTTGCCAATAGTGTTTAGCTTTACTAGTGGTATTAGATAGTTTTTCTATCTAATTCTCCAGAACACAAATGATTTTATAGTGATTCATCTTATTCTTTTTTTCTGAGTTAAAAACTCCAGTGACTGCAATCTTTTTTTAAATAAGGGACTTGCTTCAACTCTAATGAGAAAGCCATGAGGAGAAGGCAAAATGATAGAGAAAATGGTCCAATACCAGCTTAATACTTGCAGCAAGTAGAGATGAGAGAGATGGTAATACCACTTAAGTCATTTTCTTCTCTCTTTCTTTCATGTGCAGACAGACCCATATGAAAAATATATATACATGGATTAGGACTGTAGGATAATTCCCATCAATGTTTCAAAGCTGGAAACATAAACATTACCTTCATAAGGAGTTTGAATGGTGACGTCCTGATTTCCTAAAATCTGGAATCTGTATCTTGATTCCTTTATAAATTTATAAAAGAAATTGACTGCATTTCAACAACAGGATATATTTGGTGAATGTTAACCTTGGTTAATTTTGTTTGCCTCTTTGTATTATGATTAGTTTGTATTTCAGTACATTGTGCTCCATCAAAAAAATTGCTTAATTTAATAACTGTTTAAATATTCTGTTAATTGAGAGTTTATTAAAAATAATTTTATACAGTCCCTTTCCTTCCAGTCACAATTTTTCAGCCCATATTAACTTCTCCATCAACCTTTCTGTTCATGATAAATGGCTAACCAACTAAACTAATTGACAAATGATATAATGAAAAATGGATGTTGCCAGGTAAAAGCCAAGTATTTCACAGAAATGTTGCCTAGGCAGGGTGCAAAACGCATTGCCCAATTAGAACATTTCTTCCCACTCAACATCATCTCAAACTCATTAGCTTCAGCATGAATGCATCTGATATGATCTGTGGGCTGATCCCAGGTTTCCCTGTGATTACTAAGGTTCATAATACCTATACGAAATAGGTTGAAGGACAGTTCTTCCCATCTCCAGTAGGGTAGCATGACAAAGTTCAAACTACACAATCCTTATTCCCGTGTGGGTTTTCTTCCATTGTTTTTAATCTAAAACAAGTACCAAAAGTGGATTCCACAACTGGTGATTGGGGTGGACTTCTAAACCCTTATCTAGTTTTCATTTCATAAATAAAAAAGAAATAGGTACCTGTCATTCTTTCCTTTGCACCAATAAGCCGTATGAAGTGCAGTAGAAAAATACATACACATAGCCTTTGGGTTTTGGAAAATTGCTACCACCACACATCTTGAAGTTCAAATGCCAGTCTTACCTTCAAAAAAATGTTGAAATGTTCTGGATAGAAGAGAGTTCTTCTTTGATGGGATTGGCAAGAGAGCCAATTATTCTAAATGCCCCAATTTCATGGAGATGACTAGGCTGATTACTATTGCTTTAACACACACATAATGGGACAAGTTTTCCACAGATTCTGAGAACCACACACCAAAGGTACTCTTCAATTTATGACCACAATTGAGTCTAAAATTTATGTTGTTAAATGAGAAATTTGTTAAGTGAGTTTTGCCCCATTTTACAACTTTTCTTGCTGCATTTGTTAAGGGAATCACTTAAGCTGTTATATTAGTAACACAGTTGTTAAGTGAATCTGGCTTCCCCATTGACTTTGCTTGTCAGAAGGTCACAAAAGGTGACCACATGACCATGGGACACTGCAACCATCATAAATATGAACCAGCTGTCAAGCATCCAAATGTAAAACACATGATCTTGGGGATGCTGCAATGGTCAGAAGTGTGAAAAATGATCATAAGTCACTTTTTTCAGTGCAGTTGTAACTTCAAACGGTCACTAATGAACTGTTGTAAGTCAAGGACTACCTGTAGTTTGAAAAACACAGTAAGGCTGAGCATCACTTAGTTTTCTGTTCTCCATCATCTTGTCACCATTCTATCATCCTTTTCAAGGATATTTCCAAGATTGTTTACAAGGTTGTTTCCAATATTGAACCATTAGGTTAAGGAGTGTCCCTGTGGCTTAAAAAATCTATGCAAATCTTTTAGAGGTATCTCCATTACACCACATCTTGGCATCTTTTTTGCTATTTCTTATCTCTCCCTCCCATTGCTCACTCTCCCTTAACTTTTGTTGCAGAAGAAGCTGCAATAGATGTTAGGTTTTTATGGGTTTTTTTTAAACAGAGGTACTTTGTAAAACCTCCCTTCCTTCTTAAAAAAGACACTGTTTCTTCTTTTTTTTTAAAAAAACCCATGCAATCCATTCTAAATATCAAAAGAAAACTGCAGTTTCCTTATATCGTCTACCAAGAAGCTCAAGAGCACAGGGGCCTCAACCCTGACACTTCTACATAGGACTTTGTTTCTCTGATCAGATTGCATCTCTCTGATCACATGTCACTGGTGCCAATTGGTATCTGAGCTGATTTTTTTTCCCCAACTCAGTTGTAAAGCTGTTCAAATGATTATATTCCCATTTTGCAATTTCTGATTTTGTTGTCCTCTGCTTTCCTTCCTTTCCATAATTGCTCAGCCTTGGTAGCACTCTAGTGTCTGTACAATGATTTGTTTATTTTATTTTTACTTTTCCATTGCGAAAAGAAATACTGAAGAAGCAAAGATAAGGAACAGAGCACCAGTTGAAGGCTGACTTTTGCACTTCCTTGCTGAACAGAGTATTAATTGGTTCATTCTGAATATTCACAACAGCTTCAGCGAAGACAGCCACAGGTGGGAAGGGCAAGGAGGTATGAAATTATGGCTGCCTGCTCCCTGGCAGTGCCATTTTTTCATTGCACCTGGCCTTTGCTTACTACATGCCCAAACAGTGTCGCAGTGAAGCAGCAGTGGCACTACCATGCAACAATTATCTAAGTATTTGCTCTGAAGAGGTGCCAAACCTGCTGAGATGCATAGTTTAGGATTACTTGCTGCATGCTTATCTACTAACTCTTTGCTCAGTTCCTTTCCAGTACTGTCTATGGCCCATTGGGAGAAGGTGATTGATTGAAGGAGGAAGTACCTACTTTGGAAGATGGGAACATCCAGGGGTTTCAGAGGATAGTTGGGGCTTCAATAACCCCAGTTGAGAGATTATAATTAGCACTCCTGAAACCATCTTTTGCCAGAAATTGCCACCATTCTTAACAGTGGATCTTGCCTTGGCAGAATGATAATTGGATTTCCTTCCTAGTTTAATTTGTATATACCTAATTAGTAAAGGCTGTTCATCCTCATCTGATACATTTGGCTACCTGCCTGCATAGATGATAAGATCAACCTTAGGGAGTGTTTCTGCTTTCCACTTCCTCAAAGCACGAGTGCAGGAGGCAGACTGAGAAACATCACATGTGCACTCCCAAAGGTGCTTTTCCAAAACTGGACTTTCCCAGGTTTTTTCTTGAAAACATTTCACTTCTCATCCAAAGAGCTTCTTCAGTTCTGACTGAATGGGAATAGAAGGATTTATATTCTTTGCAGTCATCTGGTTGTTAGCGCTCTGAAGGTCAACTATAAAAGATATAAACTTATCCTTGGTGCTTTATGCTTCTTAGTTACCCTCAAAAATGTGCCTTGCAGCAGTCTGGGATAGAGGACCAATAGAAGGATTTCTGGGATGGGACTCTGTTGTAAAAAGGAATAGATTAAATATATGACAGAGTCAAAACCTCATAGAAACTTCAGCGTTCAAAGTGATGCCGAGAGACTCACTTTTCTCAAACATGTATGCAGCATTAAAGCGCTTTCTCACAGTTGTTATTTACAATTTTCATATCCTCATTGTTGTGGCTGAGTCTGCCACTGATTGCCCACAAGGGTACCATAGTGGGAAGAGAAATATAAGCAGATGAGAAATTTTAGGAATGGAAACTCTTGAACCAAAAAATATAGCTGTGAACTAATTGAAGAGTAATAAATTAAGCAATAATAAAATGTGAGAGCCTCTGAAAAAAATCAGTACAAACTGTTCTTTCCTATCTGAAACTAACTGCAAGATAAAAGGATATCACATCCCCAACACTTGTGAATGAGATTTTCTCTCCTCGCTCCCCCCAAAAGCACTCACAACCCTGTTTCTGGAGCTGGTTTGTAGGGCTCCATACCTAAACTGCTACACACCATGGGCTTGGTTTGGTTTGCAGGCTTGCTTGGGTTTGAAGACTCTACTCCAGGGGTGTCCAACCTTGGCAACTTTAAGATTTGTGGACTTCAACTCCCATTCCCATGGCTGGCTGGGGGATTCTGGGAGTTGAAGTCCACAGGTCTTAAAATTGTCAAAATTGGGCACCCCTGCTGTAGTTTTCCTTACTTTCTTTTCCCTGCCTGCTCTCAGTTCTACCTTTCAGCAGTCTTTCACTTCTAACAGTTGAAGTTTTCTATTGCTTTCTGAAGACTAGTGTGTAATACCTGCCTTTGGCTTACAGTCTCCTTTTTTCAGGTTTCTGCTATCTTTGGGGCTTGATTATTTTTCTCAACCCACACACATCCTTGTTTTCAGTTCTCGTTTTATATTAAAAAAAACCCTCTCCAGTTAAGGAGAGGGTGTGTCTATTATAACCATCCTTCCTAGATAGAATTAAAACTCTGCATCCCTGGAATTAAAAATGCCTGCTCACTCTCCCACATACAACTGGGCATAAATATTTAGCAGTGTAGTTTCTACATACAAATTGTTTATGAAGGTACAAAAGGTCTAGTTAAAAAAATAAGTACCTCTGGATGAGTTTGTCCTCTCTAAGACTTGCTGTTTAAGGGAGATGGCAGAACCTGACTTGAAAAGTAAATAGGATTAATATTTAGAAGGGAGACAATTGAGAAATTTAAAAAAAAATCCCAGAAGAAGGCAGTGACAAATCACTGCCATATTGTTGCTAAAGAATTTATTTGGATGTATCCACAAAGTTATTAGAAGCTGCTGATCCTTATGATTGTAGTGACAGGTTTGAAGATTTATGATAGCAGAGGGATGTTTCTGCACAATCCAGAAAGATTTTTAGATTTAGATGTGATATCCTTTCATCTTGCAGTTGGTTTCAGATAGGGAAGAACAGTTTGTACTGATTTTTTTCAGAGGCTCTCACATTTTATTATTGCTTAATTTATTACCCTTCAATTAATTCACAGCTGTATTTTTTGGTTCCAGAGTTTTCACTTTGCTTATATTTCTGCTTATATTTCTCTTCCCACTATGGTGCCCTCATGGGCAGACAGTACTAGAATCAGCCACAACAAGCAGAGCACAGCAAAGAAAGTACATTTTCATAAAAGTTTATTTATGTGATTTATTTTAGATTTTTTTTCTTTGACTTCAAAATCATTTTAGGTTCACTAGATGCCTTGTCTGAATTGGTTGATTTAGAGCTACCAGCAATAAATCTTATACAGCTGTGATTCTTCCTTTTCTCCATTTGCTTGGAGTGGGGAGCATGGTGTATATTATGAAGAACAGACTCTAGCCATCTCATTGGAAAATCATGGGGATCAAATGTCCCATTCAAGGTTTTCACCTGTAAAAACAAATACTGCTCTGGATCTGGAAGAAAACATACATTTCTATGGGTTGGGGGCAGGTCCTTTCACTTTTCACAAGTTCTCATTCATTGGCACAATCAAATGCTCCAATTGTCCATTTCTCCAGAGCATGAAAAAAGGGATGGTGAAGGAAATAAGTTTCTTTCTTGGCATTCCTCAAAGAAGTAATTGGCTGGAAAAATTATGAAGTGGCTTTGCATGTAGAGCATATTAAGGTTGTGCAGTGCTTTGGAAATATTTCATTAAAATATTTTAGAGTACAAATGTAGTGTTTGTCTGCAACTCATTAAAGCATTCGTGTTTCTTCCTGGAATCATGTGTCCACTCTCTGCAGCTGCTACTTGATCCCATACAGCTGCATTAAAAAACTGAAAGATGATGCTAAATTCATGTTCCTATGTACTCCAAAACAAATTCAATTTGTAATCAAATTGGAAATGTTGCACTATTTTTGAGCATGTGTGGAACATATATGAACTGTTTGCAGTTTTATGCCCATATGATGATTTTCCATGAGTATACAGATGTTTATCGCATAGCATAGTTAAAGACTCCTCCTGTGTAAAACAAAGTTCCATTAAATTTTTAAGGATGTACAATAATATACTCATTGGGAAAGATCCTGATTTTGGGGCAAAAGGAGAAGGGGATGACAGAGGATGAGATAATTAGACAGTGTCATCAATGCAATGAACATGTATTTAGGCAAACTCTGTGCGATGGTGGAGGACAGGTGGATCTCATGTGCTACAGTCCAGAGGGTCAAGAAGTGTTGGGCATGACAGCAACTGAATAATAACAAAAATAATATAGTTGGCTGCTTCACTGCTTGTCTTAATATAAAGCTTTAATTTTCTGTTTTTTATTCAATTGTTTAAGTTTACTTTACTATTGGAGGTGGCAGAGAGTGACATCATTAGGGTGTTGTCTGTTATGCATCTTTCCATCACTTAAGCCTTCTTGATTGTTCATATTTCCCTTCTGGTTTAGCTACAATAGCACCTTGCACAACATAAATAAAACACGACTTCAGTCTGGAAAACAAATGTGCTGGTTCACCTTGTGGATCTGCTTTCATAACCATTTGGCTAAAGATTAAAGGATTCAAAGTCCAGGATACTTGGAAGAACCAGCTTGGAGAATATTTAGATCTAACCCAGTGGTTCTCAACCTGTGGGTCGCGACCCCTTTGGGGGTCGAACGACTCTTTCACAGGGGTCGCCTAAGACCATCGGAAAACACATATTTCTGATGGTCTTAGGAACCGAGACACCGCTCCTCTATCCGTCTCCGCAAGGCTTCAAGCTGGGGGCCGTTGCAGCGCCGGATTCATTTCCGTCGAGCATCTCCTAAGGGAGGCTGCACTACTTCACGGCCCTTTCCATGGAGGAGGCTGAACTAAGCTCTGCTGGAGCTGTCGCCCTCTTGTCTCTCTCTCTCTCTCTCTCCCTCTACCCGCCTGGGTGCTTCTCCAACCAGGCTGGGTGGAGCCGGCGGAGCGGCCTGCCTGCCGCCCCTCCCTGGCCAGCTGGAGCCGGGCAGGCTGGCGACCTTCGGAAGTGAGGCGAGGACAGGCGAGGCGTGCTGAGCCCCGGGCACGTCGGGTGAGTGGGTGGCGTCGGTGCGCGCTTGGAGAGCCCTTAGGGTTGGGGGTCACCACAACATGAGGAACTGTATTAAAGGGTCACGGCATTAGGAAGGTTGAGAACCACTGATCTAACCTAATATATTTGGGGTTCTTCTATAGAATGGAGGAGCATCAATCACTGACAGCATGTTTGTCTCCACATGGATGCATCTGTGTGTTCATGAGGAAGGGATTTGATTTGATTTTCTTTTCTTTTTTTTGCTGACCCTGAAATTTTTGTTCAGATTACTTATGTATGCAAAATAATTGGAGGTAAGGGGAAAAGAATTATCCAAATACAAATTATTTTCACATATTTCTAATGGAAAGAAGATACAAAAAAGTAAGAAATCAATAACAAGTTTATTTATCAGGATAAAATTTGCATATAATAAAAGGACAATTATTTAGAAAAAGTATTATCCCTGCCCTCTCTTAGAAACAAAGGTACATACATATATGCAGACATATTGAACTTTTAAAAGAATTCACTGATTTTTTTAAAAAGGGAAATCATGACAAATTCTCCAGCAATTCTGTCAAAGTCAAGTTGGGCCTAGAGAGGTGAAGAAATATCCCAATCACTCGTTTGTTCAATTTTTGAACCAACTCATTTTAGTTGTTGATTTAAATAAAGAACCTCTTTCAAAAGCAAGTATTATTCAAGCATTCCCCTCCCCTGGGCACTTCAAGATATGTTAAAATTTACAAGATGCTAGCTGGGAATTCTGGGAATTGTAGTATCAACAGATGTAGAGGAAAAGCTGTTTATTAGGAAATTTCAATTGTTCACAATGAAAGATAGTAAGAAAATCATTCACACCTTCTTCTTTTTTTGGGGGGGGGGGACATTAGACAGTGATGCTGTCTCTTCTTCCTATAGATAGCCTGATAATATAATTTAGCAAGGAAGGAATGTCTTGCTTCCTGCTCCCATTTTGCAAATCAAGACTTCTGGGTTTGCTTCAAATTCCTTTAAAAAAATCAATAATTACTGAATAATCCCAGCAGCTCTTGAAGACACTATATATTTCACTTCCTTTTCCTTCTCTGAAATGTCCACCTACCAAAATTCAGTCAGTTTTTTTTAGAGTTCAGTCTCAACTATTCAACTTACCAAAAGGGAAAAATGTAAAGTGTTTTTTTTTATATAATTTAGACAATCTGGAGGAAAAAGAGTTCCACTCAAGATCCTGAGTAGATAATCATTGCAACCACTCTTGATATGCCAAGGATGAAGTACAGGAAATTTCTTTGCCCAAAACATAGGGTATCTTTACATGACAATCACTTTTTGTTGGCAATTTTGTTTTCCAAATGATCGAGTCTGGCAGTCATCTGAGCAAGTGCTTGCATTAAGGAAGCCAAAACAAGAGATAATGTGAAGATACACTGAAATGTTGATTGGCAGGGAACATATCTCAGCTGCAGGTCAGGCAATCCATTTTTTTTTTAATTCCTTAGGTTTCCTCAAAGTATAAACTCGTCACTGTAAGCACTCAACTATATTTAGTCCCTTATTCACTGAACCTTTATTTTTTACTTGATGTATTAGTTCCTAGAAGTTTAGCGTAAGTTTTTGTATTTTTATTAAATAGTTTATTAAATATTTTCCTAAATCTTCATTTTTTTAAATACTTGAAGACATTTAAAGTAAAAATTTCAAATTTTGCTAAAAGAGTAGGTTTAAGCAACTCTCCTATTCAATTTAGATTTTCACAATGTCTCCAATCACACATTTTGTGCAAGTTCCACTATTTAAAGGATATTTTTATTGGTGAGATCTTGTAGAATTTCAATAGTGTTTGTCTGGAACTGTACAAGAGCCGCACATTCACATGGGCTACGGATTTCAGTTGTTCCTGTGCCCTCCTCTGAAATACCACAAAATTCATTAGACACATAGATATCCAATCCTTTATCCATAAACAGTCCCCAGAGTCCCCAGCATCCTAGGAGAATCTTATATAAATTGATCTAATCTAACCATTTTGGAGGTTTCACAAATAATGGTAAGCTTTGGTTTATTTTAGCCATGGTTTTCTTCAACCATTAAATCATAGCTCATAGTTTAAAAGCCCACAAAGATGCTGTACTTATTTAAGGACACTGAAATATATTTAATGATGAGTATTTGTGTATCTATAGTTATATATGTAATAAAACTTGCCCATATAATTATGATGTGAAGCAAATTTGACAAACAATTCTTTGCCATCACAGATTCCAACATCATTTTGTAGTGTTAAGTAAACTGGATCCTGAATGATAGTTAGGGCAAGATACAAAATGGACAAGTTACCCATGGGTTTTACTGGAATATGTCCTCTAAATACTTGAAGCTGTAGTAACTTACCTGGGCAGATATTGAATTTGAGATTGTCAACTATATGAGTCATGGTGTTAAAATCTGCTGAATATGAAAAATGTTGATCCACTGGCTCAGAAGCAATTTCTCTCAGCTCTTCCTCGACAGCTTTACCAACACCAACTGCAAACATGATGATACCTGCAGACACATCAACATACAGTAAATTTCAAGTTAGGTATCTATGCAAGGAATAACAGCCTAATGCTTCAAGTTATAGTCAGTCAATTTATTTTTAAAACCCCTGGAACAAAGCAGGAAATAAAATCAAGCTTCCTTCTCACAACACTGAGGAAGAAATAGAAAACTGAAGCTTTGCACACACGAGTGATATAAGTCTATACCCTTTGCACTGTCAATTCACAATCTCTACCATCATCTTCCTTCCAAAATGCTGGCTATTCCAATAATCAAAACTCAAAAAACTTTGAAGGATTCAAGCAATTGTATCTAATGGGATTTTGGACAATCTGAGCTTCAATACGATAATTATTCTTAGCTGTGTCATAAAGATCTTGACAGAATGAACTTAAATACTGATGACAAGTCAAATATTATAAAATAATGTTCTAAAATAATGGCAGCGTCCTATTTTCCATTTCAAATAAAAAAGGCTTGTCTAAACTTATGTAATTGAGTCTTCCACTCCTTGATGTTCTCTAGATATGATAGGCATAAATTTTAGCTGGAATGCTGGGTAGGTTTTTTGAGAATTATACATCTGGAAAACCATATGGAAACACTGTGAGAACAGTAACTTGCTAATTGTTTTATTAAGTCCTGACATTGGAAGCTGCAGATAAATTGTTTCTGCCATTGGATAAGTGATCAATGTGCTATGCAAAGCCTTAAGTTGGAAGGCCTAACAGTAAAGCATCATTTCTGAGCTCTTCTGGGGATGATAGGAGTTCCATACAACAGTTCCTATAGTTGGAAGAGCAATGGAAGTGCATGTGAGGCACTTGCAAATCACTTGATTAAGAACTGCACTGCTTCTATGGCACAAAGCACCTCACTGACATGAAACCAAACCACTTTACACAAGCTTAGTGATCAAGCTGTTGTTCAAAAGAAGGCTATAATTTAGTATATCTCTGTCATGGGTTGTAGCAAAATGTGTCCATTTGGGAGGTGTTTTTAAGGATTAAGCCAGTTCAGAGCCATTTATTATATTATCTATATCACTCCACATCTATGCAATTATGAATAATAGTGTTGCAATGTATTAAACACATTGTAAACATAGAAAGAGCTGACGTGTTATAGAGTTTAAAGTTTTGCACTATGATAGGGCAGATCCAAGCACAAGTGCACCATCAATCATGGAAACTCAATAGTTTACTATGGGCAGTCACTCTTTTGCAGCTCAACTTCTCTTGCAAGATTGTTGATGTGAAGAAAATTGGACAAAAGAATCATAATTAGAATTAGAATTGGAAGGGACCTTGGAGGTCTTCTAATCCAACTCCCTGCTCAAGTAGGAGACCCTATACCATTCCAGACAAGTGGCTGTCCAGTCTCTTCTTAAAAGCCTCCAGTGATGGCGCACCTACAACTTCTGAAGGCAAGCTCTTCCATTGGTTAATTGTTCTCAATGTTAGGAAATTTAAAAATTATATTAAATTTAAAAATTATTAATGTATTAATTTAAAATTTAAAAATAAATTTGATTTTAAAAGTTTTATTAATTGATTAATTTAAAAATTAAAAATTTAATTTAATTTAAAATTAGAGAACACTATGTATGCTACCTGGAGGAAAGGCAAGCTATGAACCTAACAAACAAGGAAAATACATCACACTTTCCATTTATAGCCTTACCTGATTCCTTTCCTTTTCTAGCCCATTCTGAGATGTCATCTTGAGAACGTCCATCAGTAAAGACCAGGCCAATCCTGGGAATGTTCTGGGAAAGAGGTCGGGCACCCTCTGCCTCAGAGAAGCTGTGTTCCACCATGTGCTTGAGGGCCAGGCCAGTCATGGTGCCCTTTTCCATGTACTGCACTCTTTGAACAGCTTCCTTAACATCATCTGCTGCTGTGAATCTGTTGAGTGGGAACTCAGTGCGCACTCGGCTAGAGTACTGGACCAACCCCACATGGGTGCCTTGAGGGGACACATCTAGGAAATCCACTATCTGATTGACAAACTGTTTCACCAGCTCAAAATTCTGGGGTCGGACACTCTTAGAGCCATCGATGACCATCACCAAATCAATGTGCCCAGCCTTGCACTCTGTTGCCCAGGAACAAAAGCAAAAAGATGAGATGAGGCGGTTTTAATTTTGACTTCAAGAAAGCAGAGAATAGCAGAGAATTTCCTACCAATCTTTTATTTCTTGCCCCCAAAAGCTTTGGAGACTTTCTCTCAAGTTAGCGTTCAATGGAATAATAAGGTACAGGTCATAATTTTATTGTTCATAAAATGACCTACATAACATAAAATGATCTAATAATTGAATTCCTAAAATGACAATGAGAGGGATTCCCCCCTGATGCCAAATGACCCAGAGGACACTCTGGAAATATATGGCAAAGAACGTACATAGATAATTAAAGACTTTAAACATTACATGGGAAGACGCTGACGTACTCTGAAAATACTGGAGATTCCTTGCTGCTTGATATGCTACATAGCATGGGAGAGTCTAATTCTAATTCTAAAATTCCAAAATGATCTGTAATATTAACTCAACTGCAATAACTTGGTTCATTTACAGTAACTAAGAATGTAATGCCTGTGGACCTTAATGGCTTTCCCTACTGGAAGGCCTCACTCCTTAAGTAATTCCTTCTTCTGTTTGTGGGTGTCCCTGGAAGCAGCAAAGAAGTGTAAGATGAAAGGTGTGTCATGATGTCATAATGCAAATTCTTTAGCAATTTACTTGCATCGACCATCACAACAATAAAAGGTGGGATTTGCATCATGAGGTCACAACATGAATTATTGTCATTTTTGGATGATTGTGACCAACAGGTAGTCCTTGACTTACAACCATACTCTTAGCAACTGTTTGAAGCTACAATGTCACTGGAAAAAGTGACTTTCAACCAGTCTTTGCATTTAAAACTGTCACAGCATCCCCATGGTCATGTGTTCAACATTTCGGACCTTGTCAACCGGCATATGTCCTGGGATCATGTGATCACAATTTGCAACCTTTCCTGTTGGCTTCTGACAAGAAGTCAATGGGGGAACCTGGATTCCACTTACTGACCATATGATCCACTTAATAACTGTAATGACTTGCTTAATAACCATGCAAAAAAGGTTGAAAAATCAGGCATGACTCACTTAACAATTGCCTTGCTTACCAACAGATTTCTGATCCCAGTTGTGATTCTAAATTGAGGACTACCTGCTTCTGGTCTTTTGGGGTGTTTCTTTGTCACAGAAGACATGGTTGTTCCTTTACCTATTCACTGAATACCACAGTAGGGAAGGAAGCAGTGGTTCAAATTCACCTTTCTTGCAGTAAGTTAGTTACCACAATGCACCGCCTTCTCAGTAAACCAGGCAAATTCACATATGCAATACGATTCAGACCACTAATACTACAATCCAGTCAGAATATCAGCTGCCTATCTTTGTCTTCTTTGAAGCTCGCTAGCAAGTGCCATAACCAGGGGTGAGGGGGAATTGAGACTGGAAGAGGTGTGAAGGAATCTTGTGGGAAATTGGGGAGTATGCACACTGACAGGAACCAGAGGTGCTAAGCTGCATCATCTTCCTCCTTTTCAAAGACACCGGCCCTGGGAAAGCAATTTGCTCTGGCGCCAGAGGTACCATGTTCCCAAAACATCAGAACGGGACCTGTTTGGACTATTCTCCTAGTGGGTAGGGTTTTGGACATTGGGGATTGCTTTCAATATATGATTTTTCTTCAGAGCTTGCCTCTCATATGCTGCGCTCAGCATCTGTAATAAAAGTACCTTTTCTCTAACATCTATGGAGTCAAGGATCGTTCTTTCTTAGGGAGCAAGTTGAGGCCAGTCTGACACAGAACATGCGAAGCCAAAATAGTCAAGCCAGTTCCTCTATCACTCACAGAAGTGGCTAAATAAAAATACACAGACTCACCATTGGCATAACTTAAATCAGATTCTCTGCATCCAAATTACTGTAATTTTGTCTGACTTTCTTTCAGACACTAGCTCATATTAGATCAAGCTTTGTTTTTTCTACTAACCCTTTGGGGTTGCATGGGAATTATATCTGTCTCTAACTCTAGCCAAGTTTGATATGTTGAATGTGCTTTATACATCAAAATCCTTGCACGTCCCTTCACTGAAATTTTGCAAATTGTACCTCAAGCTTTCTGCTAGATTATAGAGGAATCAAGCAGCATGTTCTGTCCTTTCATTCTTTCACCACAAATCCTAAAAGCATTTCTAATCAAACTCATTTTTGTCTTCTTCAAAGCCATGGTATTCACTCTGGGACATCCAATAAGCTCCAGAAAGTAATATAACTCTCATGATAACTTTAGGTTCTTAATAAATCATTTATGTTATCGTATGCTGGTCTAAAATGTCTCCAAGGATCAGAAACACTTCTATGCGATCAGTTCAGTAAAATTATTCACTAGCAAAAGTGATGGCTCTTATTCAAAATACCACTCTTTGTTGTCTGCTATCTCTAAAATAATCTCTATGGCTACCTTTCATGAGATGCTTAGCTGGGAAAAATGTCCAATACATTAGAGGAACCTTTTATCAACCAGATACTCACTGTTACAAGTCTTCTTATCTGCCTGCAGTTGTTGACCTTCTGGGCAGACACAACGGTAAGAGCCAGAGGTACTGAGACATTTAAATTCACATCCATGCTCTACAATATTGCAGAGATCATTGGCTGAAATGCCAATAAGAAGCATGTCATGTATCATTCAGAAAATATATTTTGCCAAACATGATAGCCTTAATATGTGTCAAACTACAATTGTCTTATTCCATAGTCAGAGTGGAAATAACTGCATTATGACCAAATGTGTGACTTGTGCAGTGCTCTAATAAATGGATGTTATTGATGTTGTTATTAGTCTTGGTTTTCTGAAATATCTTTCAAATATAAACTTGAATAAGTGTTTAACAAATACCCAGGCTGGTTCACCTAAATATATAGGGACCATGTGTCCTTTATTATAAAAGACAGTCTTTTATTTCTGAAAGCTGCCCTTTAAATTTGTTTAATTACTTATTTTCCCAATTTTGCTCCTGAATTTTCCTTTGTAAAGCAAAGTTATAAATATAAACAATTATTTTTCTTTTCCTTATGAAACCCTTTCAGATTTGTCCTTTTTTTCAAGTTGGACCTTTATTTTTCCCAAGAAAATGTAGTCACTTTACCTATAAGTAAAGCTGAAATATCCTATTCCTACAAGGATGGTAAGAGACACCCCATTCAAGTCTCATCACTTGAACAAAAGCATTTCCCATATTTTATTCATTTTACAAAATGTTATATCATCTATTCAGACAACTTGGGGCAGTATGTATGATATAACATAATCATTCCAACATAACCACACCCCAAAAAATCACACTGAAAATATAAATGATTAAATATGCATCAATCTAAATCTCAAAACATGTTTAAGTAGCAAGGCTTTATTAGGAAAGGTGAAACACACCTCTGGGGTGTTCCACAAAGCTGGGCTGCCATAGAAAAGACTGCCTTGTAGCCAATCTACCCATCATCTCTTATAGGAACAGGCCCTCTCTAAGTCAACTCACAGAATGGGCAGAATTATTTTGAATAAGATGGTTCCTAATGAAACCTGTACCACAACATAGAGAGCTTTATAGGTAATTATTAGCACTTTGAATTGCACCCAGAAGCCTACTGGCACACAGCTCAGGTATTATTGTGGTGTTCAGATGTTATTCTGTAACATAGTCATTCCATTCTGGACCAGTTGTAGCTTCTCAACTGTCTTCAAAAATAGCACCAAGTAAAGCACACTGCAATAGCCCAAATATTTGGTTGTAAGGATATGATTCAGTGCTTCTGGGATCCGGTAGGACATAAGTGGCATACCAGCTAAAAATGTATGGCAAATGTATAGCCATAGTTTCTCAGATGCTGTGAGAAATCCAAGCCATTGATCTGCAGTTTCAGATGACCTCACCTAAGCTAATCCTGGAACCAAGGTTTCTTGAAAATCCAGAATTTTATAGACAAACAGTATCTCTAGCTTGCTAGGGCTTATTTCTTTCCACACAGTCCATCAGAGGCTCCAGACATTGGTTCAAGATTTCCACATCTCTGGCTAGATATAGAGTGATGCTGTACCACTAAGTACCATCAACCTATTGATAATACCTCACCTCAAACCGAGATAGTGAAGCTGAAACTTAAATACTTTGGCCACCTAATGAGAAAAGAGGACTTATTGGAAAAGACCCTGATGCTGGGAAATATTGAAGGCAAAAGGAGAAGGGGATGGCAGAGGATGAGATAGCTAGATAGTGTCATTGACACAATGAGCATGAACTTGAGCAAACTATGGGAAATAGTGGAGGACAGGGGGACATGGTGTGTTATGATCATGGGGATTGCAAATAGTTGGACACAACCTAGTGACTGAACAACAAATCCTCAAACCAAAAGATGATCACTAACAAGGATTTCATATAGATGAAATAGTAAATATATGAATAGAAACATTTCTCAATGTTTCACAATTGTCCAAATAGAGCAGCTTTTGTCATGGATTATTAATCTAGAGCCTTAGAATCAGGGCTTTTTTTATCATAGAATGCCCAGAACGGAGTTCCGGCACCTTTTTTGTATGGAACCTTGTAGGGTATGACATGTGTGAGTTCCAGCACCTTTTTTTTTTTTTACAAAAAAAGCACTGCTTAGAATCATATTCATAACTCAAGTGGATGCCTATTTGCACTGCTCTGCCAGTCTAATTCCACAGATATAATCATTTGGCCCATTTAAGTATGCGCTACGTGTAATAGATTAAAGCATACAAAGCCACAACCAGCCATATATAAAATATACCTTGGCACGTCTTGCCATCTGCCTGCAAAGTGAAGCCATCATGACACCGGCAAAAATATCCATTAACTATATTAACACAGTCATGCTGGCAACTGTGGTTGTTGAAATTGCAGAAATTGATCACTGAAAGAAGAAAGAAACCATTAGAGGACATCGCCACGTATGCAATAAAACAATCTGCATTGTTGATTTAACACAATGGCAGGACTCAAGATCCAACATTTGCTGCAAACATTTGCCTTTCTTTCCTATAAAATGGCTCCATTTCCTTTACATCAAACAGCACTGGCATAAAATACAGAAGAATATATTTAATACAGCATGGAAAACTTGAGATGTCCCAAAAGTTGTTGAACTATCATAACCACTTCCCTTTCCTTGGCCAGCAGGGTTGAGGCTGCTGGGAATTCTAGTTCAACAACATCAAAGGATCCACAGATTCTCCTTTTTTTGTATAGTTTAATGAGGACAGAAAAGATCCCAGTATTGCAAGGAAGGAGTGACCTTTCTCACTATGCCACCTTCTTGCTGAAAATTGACTCTCCCACACCACCCAAATTTCAACAGAAGCTACAGAATGGTTATTTCTCCTTATAGCTGCTGATGCAACACAGAGCTTACTCACTGCTACAGGTCTTCTTGTCTTGATTAAGCTGGTAGCCTGTCGGGCAACGGCAAATGAAGGTACCTTGTGAATTAACACACTGGTGCTCACAGCCATGTCTCTCATTAGCACACGCATCAATGACTGCAGGAGTAAAACAGAATTCAGAGTTTGAACTTCAGAGAAAAACTGAGAGGACTGTTTTCTACTGCGACAGCTAAGAGAGAACCCAATCCCAGTTTTGCAAAAAGCAGAAAAATGGCTCAGATACAGATTTATCTTCTAGTTTATTACTTCCACATTAGCTTTAAGCATTTATTTCTGTCTATAAGCAGTACTTCTGACTTTCCCCTTGCTATTTCCATTAACAAACAACTCATAGAAATGCAGCATCAGATAAAACTTCCACATGATACAGCTTCTAATTTCTTCTTATATGGCTCAGCAATTTTGTAAAACCAGTTTCATCCAATGACACCTGTCTCTGAACCACAGATATTTTTTTAAAAAAAAAGAAGGTCTAATTTGTTTAATTAGCTGGAAGATATTGTACATACATAAGCACTGATTCCTGTGAATACTATGTTGGGTACCATAAGTAATACATAATCAAAATATTAAGTGTGTGTGTGTGTGTGTGTGTGTGAGAGAGAGAGAGAGAGAGAGAGAGAGAGAGAGAGAGAGAGAGAGAGAGAGAGAGAGAGAGAGAGAGAGAGAGAGAGAGAGAGAGAGAGAGAGAGTACATTTCTGGGGCCCCAAGAGATTATCATTTGCATCAGTGATCATCTATCTCATTCTTTTATTACCACTAAATCATTTGATGGTCTAGATTTTTTAAAATAAAAAAATGCAAAAGGGGAGCTAGCATGCTGCAAAGTACTGGCCCCCATGATCAAATGGTCCCACAGCCATTATGATAAAATAAAAATGGCAACCAAAGAGCAGAACAATAGTTAAATGTTTTTCCTCAGTGCAGAAAAACAACTGTTTTGTGAGTGCTCACAACATGGTTTCAAAATTTCACACATCCGTTAAATGTCTATTACTCTTACTTGAGCATGTTTTTCCATCTGCGTTAAGTTTGTATCCTGGTTTACACTGGCAATAAAAGGAGCTTGGGATACTGACACAAGTGTGCTGGCAGCCATGATCAAGTTCTGTGCACATATCAACACCTGGAAGAAGTAAGCTTGCATATTAAGAAGGAAAGATGTGCTGGGAACTGTAATATTGTAAAGCAGTGGAACTCTTCTGGAAGCATGTACATAGCTCTATTTAACTTTTCTTTCTCTTTAGCTGGAAATCTGGATAGAAAAGATCCTTTAGCAGTGTTTCTCAACCTTGGCAATTTTAAGAATTGCCCAGAATCCCTCAGCCAGCATAGAATAGTAGAAATGAAGCAATAATACAACACAAAAATAGTAATGGCAATAACTCCCCACCCCCAGATACTTAGATACAGGGCTTTTTTTGTCATAGAACACCCAGAACGGAGCTCTGGCACTTTTTTTGGATGGAACCTTGTAGGGTAGGCAAGGTGGGTTGTATGACGTGTGAGTTCCGGCACTTTTTTTTTTTTTACAAAAAAAACACTGCTTAGATATATATTTCCGGAATACGTTATGTGAAACCAAGAATGGCTGCTGAAAAAGTGGGTTTTTTAGCTGTTTAATCACTGCATATGCCCACTTTGAAGATCACAATCAAAAGTTTCTATAAATAAATATTAGATGAAGCATAGGACATGCTTTATTTTTGAACAATTTTAAGTGAAAAACCTTTACAAAACTTCACTTCTGAATGTAAAGAGTCTGTTTGGAGCAATTGGGAAATGCTGAAAATATTTCCAAAATGCTCAAAGCAGATGGACTCACACTTGAAACACCAGTTGAATACTTGGGATTTCAAATTTAATGACGTTTTCACATTCAGAAAGATTTGCCCACCCATGGTAGAAGGAAAATAAGAAGGATCAAAATCAGTCTCAATACAAGCTTTATTCCTTTACTCACCACATAACTTGTCCTGGAACTGCTTGCCAAACTGTTGGATGAGATCAAAGGACTCCACCAAGAAGACATGTTCCTCCAGTGGGGGAGATGCCATGGCCCTCAAAGAGTTCATGTCTGCCCGCTGAACACCCACAGCATAGATCTCAATGCCAGCAGCTCGTGCTTGAGCAGCCACTTCAGTCACACGGTCCTGGGGCCGCCCATCAGTTACAATCACAGCCACCCGGGGAATCTTCCTATGAAGTGGCCGGGCTCCGTCCTGTATGGTAAAGGCCACATTCATGGCATATTGGATGGCCAAGCCTGTCATTGTGCCTTGAGCCAAGGGGACAATGCTATTGATAGCCTTCTCCATTTCAGCTCTGGTGAAGAAGGACTTGAGAGAAAAGACATTCTGGACTTGGCTGGAGTACTGAATCACCCCAACCCGTGTGGCATTAGGCCCTACATCCAAATTATGGATGATGTCAATCATGAAGCGCCGCATGGTCTCAAACTCAAAGGGCCGGACACTACGTGAGCTGTCAATCACAAAGACAATATCCAATGGACCAGTTTTACATTTAGTTTCTGGAGGAGGAAAAAAGATAAAGGTGGCTTAATCACTTGAAAAAGCTACTCCTTCTTTATTAATTAAGACTGTATTTAGGCTTTTTTAGTGTATCAACTAAAGAACATGAATGATATATGACACAAGCATACAGACACATGTGCACAAGTATATAAACATACATATATACATAAATTGTAAAGACTTCTGAAATAAAATTATAGATTTGCCACTCCAGATAAAATACTCTTAAATGAAAAGTAACATTCAGTACAATACATTCCTCCATTTGATAAATAAACACTATCATTTAGAGGAGAGCAGGCAATTTAATGCACATGTATTTAAACTTCAATTGCTATCAATACTCAAGAAGATCAATGGTCAATAGCAATGGGAGTTCTACTCAAAATCATTATGGGGTGCCAGATTGTCTTTTCTGATGTTAACATATCTTGAGCACAAAGTTGCTATTATTCATTGAAATAATTCATGTAGAGAAGTATTATTTTTTTTTTGCTTTTGCTTGCATATTATATACCAAAAAAAGAAGAGGCTCTATTGGACATTAGTATTTTAGAACTGCCTCATACATTACATTTTAGCTCATATCTATAATAATTTTTAAAACTGCACACAGTATATATATAAAAATAGGATTTATTAGGATGCTTTGATCCAAAGGCATGAAATTGACTTGCTAATTCAAGGTCAACTGTTCAGTCAATGGTCTCTTTTTCAAATGTTTCCACTAATCATTTTGCCAATTCCACAGTATATTTATATGGAAGTTGTTTCAACTTAAACACACTGATTAAACATGTGTTGGGCTACACTTTTAATCTGCAATTCTTCCAGCACCTCAATTTATTTATTTAAAATACTTCTCTGATTTCTACCATAAAGTTTCAGTAATGGCATGTAGGACTTTAGTAACATTAGGGCTACTGAATTTCTATTTAGATAGGGTAGACATAGTGAAGATACTGGATTTATGACAAAAACCTTATGGCTTCCTATAAAATATATACATTACAGCATTATGTTGCTGCATAGTAATCCAAAAAACAAAAAACACCTCACCAACCCACAAGAAAGGATAAATGAGAAATATGGCCTAGTAGTTCAAATTGAATCATTAATTTTTTAAATTTAATCATTAATGTTTTTTCTGGTGGGAAATTCAGATTATACATTATGAGATGCATTTGAATTGAGGCAAGTAACAAATCTTCACTCTTAAATGGATGATCATTTGAAAAAAGTACTTGTTTGTCAGTTTACTGTGATTGTCAGCTGAATGATACATTGATTGGTTATGTGCCATCAAGTGGGTATCAATTCTTGGCAACCACAGAGATAGATTTTGCCCAAGACAATCTGTCCCTCAGCTAGATGTTCAGGTCTTCCAATAGTGACTAAATCTATCTACCTTGCTTCTGGACTGTCTATATATCAATCTGTTTTTAGCTTTATATCGAGTTTTAATTCAGGTTTGATTTAAAAAAATAATAATAACTGGTACTTACCTAAGAGTTTTGGACGAGCTTCCATCATGGTGAAGGCATGCATAAAAAAAGGTATAACGTACACCAGCTTCATCATTTTCTTTCAAGATGATAGGATCTCAGGAAAAAGTCTAAAGTGCAAAAAGAGAATGTATCTATTTATTTAACCAGATTTTTATAGCCTCTTCTCACAAGGCTGACAAAAATATCTGACAATGTAGTAGAGTCATGTTAATTTTGGGGTGGGGGTGTGTTACTTCAGGTCAGTTTCTGACTTCTGGCAACTGCCCGGACTAGTCCTTGCCATTTTCTTGGTAAGATTTCAGAAGTGATTTGTCTTCTCATAGGGCTAAGAGAGTATAACTGGCCCAAGGTCATTCAGCTGGCTTTGTACCTAAGGTGACACTAGAATTCACAGTCTCCTGGTTTCTAGCTTGGTGCCTTATCCACTACACCACACTAGCTCTCTATGCTAATATATGATAACAAAAAAAATCAGGAGTTTAGTAGAACCATTTCAAACTAATACATTTTACTACAAGGCATATGATTTTTGTAAACCATGGGCTCATCCAATACACAGAGTGGCTAAACTGATGCAGGACTTAAATTGGATAATTGGGGAGGGAGGGAAAGACCAAATGGCTATGCGAGTGCAGGTTGCATGTGAGACTGATTATTAATACTTTACAAGTTAATAATTATAATGCATTAAAAACCTATTGTGTTTGTTGAGATCTTCCGAGGTTGCTTGAAGCCTTTTTGTGCATGTAAGTTTAACAACTTCTCATAATGGAATTAAGTAGGCCTTTTAATAAAATATATTAGTTCGCAATAGTAGTAAATATCTGGAGCTCTGGTGTAGGGTGAGGGTGACCCTTCATCCTCAAAATGTATTAGTCAACAGATTCCTTTGATACGTTTTTTGTAATCTGATAAAATTTTATAATATTACTTTCACATCCAGTTGTTCACAAATATTTTTTGTTAAGATTAGCTATCTAGCTTGAAATCTCAATATAGATAACCTGGTTTGAAAGTAAAAGGTCATTTTAAAGTTGGTTATTCAGTGGTAAACTACAGAGCATATAGCGCTTATTCTTACATTACTTTGTTCTAAATTATACAGCGTTCTGAGAGTCTAGAGCAGTGCTTCAGTTCTTTGGGAAACATAAGGCAAGTGTCCATGTAATTTTAGCAGTTTTGTAAATGTTGGTATTAGAAATACCAAGTTACTGTTGAAACTATTCTTAATGTAAAAGCAGTTATCCCAATGGGTGGTTTCGTGGTATTCCTCCTGCTATATTATATTAAAATTCCTCATCATCTAGCAAAACAAGAGAACATTGTGGCTTTCTGATGGAGAGCCCAACTGCATGTTAATGAACTTCATTTCAGTATATAAGCCAGAATAATTTATTGAAGTAAAATATTCCTTTCCCCAAACTCCTCTCTCTATTACTGTTTTGTACAACATGCCAAAATATACATTTTAGACTACTATGTTGTGCAAGCCAACCCTGGGTGGTTAGTTTATGGTTCTGTGTACTGTATGACCCAAGAAGTGGGTAAATAGAATATCCATGGTACACATATGGCTTATTCGGGGCAGTCAACAAGCCATCATATTTTCACAATTTAGAATATTGGGAAAATGAGCAATTCACCAAATCCCAACTGACAATTTCACTTATCTCTAGTCACATTCAGGATATTTTTAAACACCCTAAACCAGTTGACATAAACCACAGGGAAAGAAAGGATATTAGCAGAAACAGATCCTTCTGAATAATTCAAAACAAGATGTCTAATCAATAGCATATTTTTCAGCGTGGTGACTTCTAAATGTGGAAGATCCTAGATGATTTAAGAAAACTAACAAATGCATTAATAGCAAAGTACTAAAGTGTAGTAATTTAAGTAATATGAGCAATATTATAGATTTGGAGCTCTGGAAAAGAAATAATAAGAATCTCTAGATATTAATATAAAGATATTGATGAAAAGGTAGCAAGGATCATCCCAATATTCTGGCCTCAGTTGGTAAACCCGCCTGTTTGGCCCAGAAGTATGTTTAGGGAGACTGGCACTTGATTTCAAGGGCATCTCATAGGTTTAACAATAATTACCTGTGATATTTAAAGAAAAATAATAATAAATTCATTTCAAGTGTTTAGCATTCTAAATATGGGAGGAAGCAGGATGCATGAAAGGGCATCTCCCTCCCATGATCTGGCTCTGAATATCTGAAGGAAACATGCTGGCTTGGAGGGCACTCAAATCCCCACAGCAATAACTGCAATGAAAACCACCAGATTAGCACAGATTATTATAATTTTTTCAACAACAATTTTTGAGGTCTAAGTGCTATGAACATGCAATTTCATTTTAAAGAAAGCAGCCTTGAGCCTTCCACAACGGCAACAACTTTTCCCAACATTTTGTCCAGAAAAGCCTTAAGAATTATTTATTTATTTATTTATTATTTATTTATTTATTTATTTATTTATTTATTTATTTATTTATTTATTTATTTATTTATTAAATTTATTTGCCACCTATCTCGTCATGGGGCTGCTCCAGGTGGCTTACAACAATGAAAACAGAGAAAGGAAAGAAATGTAAACATAACAGTAGCAAAGGAAAACTAGAATAAACAGTGAAAAACAATAAGAATACAGCAATATGGGAACAAAAGATGGGTGGGTGCAGATGCAGGAAGAGGTATGGTTTGCTGTCATTCTACTGGCCACCTCCAGTGTGGTGCTACTCCCTTATTGGGTCCCCCCCAAGTCAGCCAGCAGATCTTCAGACTGTTATTGCTGTTATAGAAATAGATTTCTATAACATGGAGGCTGAAAAGGCTTCCGGGTTGGGAGTGGTGAAGAGTCATGGTTTTCAATTTTCTAATGAGCCAGACATTCAAAATGCTAAAGGTATAACAGCATTTGCTCTATCCACCAGAGGACTTTGTAATACTATGCTCCCACTTAGTAAAGATGCATGGAGACTCTAGAAAAGAGCAATGGAATTCTATAAGACTATGCTAAAAAAAAATGTAATGTTTTCCTTCTGTTTTCAAAAGGGAGTGTGGCATGCAGAAGCTATTTTTTTCCTCAGCTTTGTCATATAATTGCTGGCTAACTTCTGGAGCCGGGAGAAATCTTACTAAAAGAGAATGAAACAGGTCATAAACTGCCTCCTGGTGGCCAATGTAAGTAAAAACACCACAGAGGACATATGCTGTGTAATGGGTGAAGAAGTCATATAAAACCTCATAAAATGGGGTATTATAAATAAGCAGTATTATTTATCCTTAGAATTATATAGGTTATTTTTTTAAAGGGAGTGTCTACATTTCTAATGTCAGTTTGTGAGCTTCTTAGATGCATCTGCCTGGCCCATGAGACAGAATTCTGGACTACCCGGACTTTTGGTCTGATCCTGTAAAATCCTTCTTACGTTCTATGACTTAAGTTCTACCTTTCTTCAGCTTCTTTTATTCCA